TTATTTTTGTCATATAGTTTTTTTTTTTGTTTTTTTTTTTTTTTTTTTTTTTTTTTTTTTTTTTTTTTTTGTGTAGCCAGTTTTTTTTTTTAAACTGGCAATTTTTTTTTTTCTATTGCTACTTTTTTTTTTTAATAAAATAATTTTTTTTTTTTTTAGAGAAATTTTTTTTTTTCAAGCAGAATTTTTTTTTTTTCTTTAAACACTTTTTTTTTTTTGGGAAATAATTTTTTTTTTTCTCAGGATGTTTTTTTTTTTTAGTAAATTATTTTTTTTTTTTTGACCTGAATTTTTTTTTTTTTTTATGATATTTTTTTTTTTTCCACAGTGAATTTTTTTTTTTAGAAACCCCCTTTTTTTTTTTTTTTTTTGAGTTTTTTTTTTTCTCTTGTCGCTTTTTTTTTTTTGCAATGACATTTTTTTTTTTCACTGCAACCTTTTTTTTTTTGGTTCAAGTGTTTTTTTTTTTTCAGCCTCCCTTTTTTTTTTTATTACAGGCATTTTTTTTTTTACCTGGCTAATTTTTTTTTTTTAGTAGAGACTTTTTTTTTTTCACGTTGGCCTTTTTTTTTTTGAACTCCTGATTTTTTTTTTTCCACCTGCCTTTTTTTTTTTTAGTGCTGGGATTTTTTTTTTTAGCTACCACGTTTTTTTTTTTAACTCTTAAATTTTTTTTTTTATCAGGTGCGTTTTTTTTTTTCTGTAATCCCTTTTTTTTTTTAGGCCGAGGCTTTTTTTTTTTGAGGTCAAGATTTTTTTTTTTTCCTGGCCAATTTTTTTTTTTCCCATCTCTATTTTTTTTTTTAAAATTAGCTTTTTTTTTTTTCGTATGCCTATTTTTTTTTTTACTCGGGAGGTTTTTTTTTTTTAGCTTGAACTTTTTTTTTTTAGGTTGCAGTTTTTTTTTTTTACGACACTGCTTTTTTTTTTTGCGACAGAGCTTTTTTTTTTTTCAAAAAACATTTTTTTTTTTAATTAAAAAATTTTTTTTTTTTGGAGGCACGTTTTTTTTTTTCCAGCTACTTTTTTTTTTTTTACAGAAAAATTTTTTTTTTTTGGAGGCGGAGTTTTTTTTTTTCCGAGATCGATTTTTTTTTTTCCAGCCTGGGTTTTTTTTTTTGACACCCTCTTTTTTTTTTTTCAAGCTCAAATTTTTTTTTTTGGGTTTTGAATTTTTTTTTTTAATGCAAATTTTTTTTTTTTTATTGTTTCCTTTTTTTTTTTTGACAACTTGCTTTTTTTTTTTGCTGTGATGGTTTTTTTTTTTCTTAAGTCATTTTTTTTTTTTGAGCACTCCGTTTTTTTTTTTTATAGTGCTATTTTTTTTTTTACTTGAGGCATTTTTTTTTTTTAGCTCTTAGTTTTTTTTTTTAGGAAAACTGTTTTTTTTTTTGAGAGGAGAGTTTTTTTTTTTCAACCTGACCTTTTTTTTTTTTTTGCATTTGTTTTTTTTTTTAGAGAAAAAGTTTTTTTTTTTTTTCCTTCATTTTTTTTTTTTTGTTTCCCACTTTTTTTTTTTAAGCTAATACTTTTTTTTTTTTGAACTATGCTTTTTTTTTTTATGAATATTTTTTTTTTTTTTTGGGGACCTATTTTTTTTTTTTGATACATTTTTTTTTTTTTTTAATGATGAATTTTTTTTTTTCTATTTATTTTTTTTTTTTTTAGTCTCACTTTTTTTTTTTTTCTAGAGTACATTTTTTTTTTTTCGGCTCACCTTTTTTTTTTTCTCCCAGGTTTTTTTTTTTTTCACGCCTCAGTTTTTTTTTTTGCTGGGATTATTTTTTTTTTTCACTACGCCCTTTTTTTTTTTTGTATTTTTATTTTTTTTTTTGTTTTGCCATTTTTTTTTTTTTGGTCTCAAGTTTTTTTTTTTAAGTGATCTGTTTTTTTTTTTTCCCAAAGTGTTTTTTTTTTTGGCGTGAGCCTTTTTTTTTTTCCCAAAACAATTTTTTTTTTTATGAATTTTTTTTTTTTTTTTCCTTCTACAATTTTTTTTTTTCCTATTCTGATTTTTTTTTTTCACTCAGTACTTTTTTTTTTTAAACCTCAAATTTTTTTTTTTTAAAAATTAGTTTTTTTTTTTGTGTCTCATGTTTTTTTTTTTAGCACTTTGGTTTTTTTTTTTAGGGACACGATTTTTTTTTTTCGAGACCATCTTTTTTTTTTTAGTGAAACACTTTTTTTTTTTAAAATACAAATTTTTTTTTTTTGTGGTGGTGTTTTTTTTTTTTCCCAGACAGTTTTTTTTTTTGGATGTCCTGTTTTTTTTTTTAAGACAGTTCTTTTTTTTTTTCTCAGGTAAATTTTTTTTTTTAAACTGTAAGTTTTTTTTTTTTCTGCAATACTTTTTTTTTTTAGAAGATGTGTTTTTTTTTTTAATGTAGAAATTTTTTTTTTTAGACTATTTGTTTTTTTTTTTGAAATTTGGATTTTTTTTTTTCCGCTATTACTTTTTTTTTTTAATTTCCTTCTTTTTTTTTTTGAAGACTCATTTTTTTTTTTTTTTCCTCCTCTTTTTTTTTTTATATCATTCATTTTTTTTTTTGTTTATACACTTTTTTTTTTTTTTTTATTTATTTTTTTTTTTCACAACACCCTTTTTTTTTTTGTAGACCAAGTTTTTTTTTTTTATTGCCATCTTTTTTTTTTTAAAAAACAAATTTTTTTTTTTTTGTGGTGACTTTTTTTTTTTGAGATTTGTTTTTTTTTTTTTAATCTGACACTTTTTTTTTTTAGTTATCACTTTTTTTTTTTTACTAGCACTATTTTTTTTTTTTTCTTGTTTTTTTTTTTTTTTCTCTTGACTTTTTTTTTTTTTCTGCCAATGTTTTTTTTTTTTGTCTTCCTGATTTTTTTTTTTTCAGCATTACTTTTTTTTTTTTAATTTCATATTTTTTTTTTTGTACTATAGCTTTTTTTTTTTGAGGTAAAGATTTTTTTTTTTCTCATGGACTTTTTTTTTTTTAGAGTAATTTTTTTTTTTTTTGTAGAATTTATTTTTTTTTTTTTAATATGCATTTTTTTTTTTCCACTAAAAATTTTTTTTTTTCCACACTGTCTTTTTTTTTTTAGGTCAATTCTTTTTTTTTTTGAGGTTATTTTTTTTTTTTTTCTAGACTCTATTTTTTTTTTTTCACTTCCACTTTTTTTTTTTATCACATCATTTTTTTTTTTTACTTTTGCAATTTTTTTTTTTCAGGCTACCCTTTTTTTTTTTTTGCCCACTGTTTTTTTTTTTCCAACACAGTTTTTTTTTTTTCCTTTGAAAGTTTTTTTTTTTCAGGCACAGTTTTTTTTTTTTGTAATCCCAGTTTTTTTTTTTGCCGAGGTGGTTTTTTTTTTTGAGGTCAGGATTTTTTTTTTTGCCTGGCCAATTTTTTTTTTTCCCATCTCTATTTTTTTTTTTAAAAATTAGCCAGGT